AGGGATCACACCAATGGAGCTTTCATACAGTCTAAATTGTTAAAATTTTTTGACTTAGTGGGTCACAAGACTGCTGTGTTTATGTATAAAGCCAGGAACAATTTATTACCTGGTGGAATTCAAAAACTATTTGATGAAAGGGAAGGGGGATACAATCTAAGGGGTCAGTTAAATTATAAAATTCATGCTATACGTACAACCAAAAAAAGATTCTGTGTTTCGATAAGTGGAGTAAAACTATGGAATAATTTAGGTATGGACATAAAAAGCAGTAAGAATATTGATGAGTTTAAACATAGATATAAAGCTATGCGTCAATCAAGATATATGCAAGAACAGGCTTAATCAGACAGGAATGTGGATGTAGAATATGTATCCATGTAGTAATACTGCTTGCAAACCAATGATGATAAGATGATGTTAGGGGGTAGGACTAGATAAGTCTAACTTCTTCCTACTCCGTTCAAGCATGTACTAGGTATAAGCAAATTGAAAATATTTTTGTGGACATGTCTGGAATTATGTGTGATTACATACTGACTGATGTTACATGTTTGAAAGAATGAATAAATCAAATCAAATCAAATGAAATCCGAAACAGATGCCTGAGCCATCTCAGCTCAGTTTTAATACCACATGATGATTCAGTCTGTAGAGCTGAGAATGAACAAGAGAACTGACATTTGTGATGAAAATTGTTCGAACTGTTGGATGAGTTCTTGCACCCAAAATTGATTTAAACAGTATAAAACTGTTTAATGGCATCACCTCACCTTATAGTATGTCTCTGTCATATCAGTGCTCTATTGACTATTAATCAGTTTCTTTGCTTAATGAGATCATGGGTTCATTGGCTCTCTCAGACTTATCAGTTCAGTGCCCCCCCCCCCACGTGCTGTGGAGGTCAGTCTGTACTGTGAGAAACAAGCTCCATTTAAGAGAGAATCTCTTAAGCTCCAACCAGAGAGAATCAATTAGTTAAGATAGAAAATGACTGTCCCGCCTCTTACAATACATTAAAAACCTATTACAGCTACAGTAAATGAAGCGTGGAGGAGACAACATAAACGACACAACAAACTGCACTGAACAGTTGAAATTTTCTGGCTTTTATTACATTCTGAGCAAACCGATTCAAGTCATGTTTGTCTTCATAAAAAATAAAGTACATTAGGGCACATCTTTGCATTATGTTCCACTGTAAAGAGGGAGTGCTGTAAATAAATATAGGCCGCTATATGGCAACTGGAAAACATACTGTTCTGCACCAGCAGCACCGATTAGTGCTTTTCTTTAGTTACAGTATAGGAACACGATTATGTTTAATTTAACAATCTACTATGTATTTTACTACACTATATCTGAGGCCACGCAAAGGTTTACAGTAATGCATGTAAATTGTGCACAGTTCTTAGCACCGTGAGATACTGCAGGTATATCCCAGAAGGCTCTAGGGCTGCCCATACACTCTAATGTTATAAGGACTGTTCAGACTGATTGAAATCAGAAAAAAGGCACTCTGTGGCAATTCTGAAATGTCCGCTTATTCTGGGATTTTGTGAAAACAAATGATGACATATCAGTATAATTACTCATGATCATTTTTGAGGTATCTCTTTTGTTGTCTGTCAGGACTGTCTGGTACATTTTCACAAGGTATTTCTGGCAATTGCATTAAGTGTGCGAACTTTGCTGACATCTGCCACCTTCAAGCTGTACTCAGGTGCTGAGAAAGCAGCTCCCATCATCGCACAGGAATTCCTGCACATGAAAACATTATTACACAGTGGGCAAGCCAAGCATTAAGTAAAATCCCACTGCTCAGATTTAAAATTAATTAAGGCTGAATGTAAACATACCTGAATTTCATGGCAGAATCTCGATTGGAGCGGGCTGAGCAATGAAACTCTTGAGCCCCTGACCCCTCTAGAATTCTCTGCAGGTTCCTCTCTGTGATCCCCCCTCCTGTTATAAAAAATTAATAAATAAAAAACTAAAACGCCAAAAAAATACATATGTTAATGACACACTGGAGGAAAAAAGGCACTAACCTGGCATTATGATAATTCTCCCTTTAGCCTGTTGAGTGGAGATCATGATGTAAGAATGGTAGAAGCAGAGAGACAAACGATGCTACAGTTTTCATATGCTTCCTTTCAAATATGCATGTATACACACAGTTGAGACATACTTGATCAACGATGCGTTTAATAAGAGGGAGTCCTTCCAAAGCAGAGCTGTCACAGCCACTCGTCAACACACGCTGAAACCCTAATGACACCAGAGTCTCCAGAGCAATCACTGGGTCATGAACCATGTCAAAAGCTGCAGCAGGATCAATATTTGTTCATTAACATATGCTCAGACTCAACATTATGTATTATTAAATCTTTCTGAAAACCCTTGGCTCTATTTAAAGCACTATAAAGGGCTTTTATTCCACTGAGGCTTTGTGATATTTGTTCAGGTCTAATTGCTAGCAGCTGCAAAAAGGGTTTTAAAGACTTAAGGTCTACACATGTGACTTAAAGGAGAAAATGTTACCTCGGTGGAAGGTGACAGGCAAAGGACGGGCAGCAGCTGGTGAACAAAAAGTGAAAAATGAAGAAAAATAAACAGAATAATTCTAATAAAGTGTTACAGAGCAACCATATAAATCCAAATTTCATTTTGACAGTGTAACTAAACTTAAACTTGCTCTTTATTAGCAGCTCGTACTATAAAGCCCATGATTTATCATATACATTTTTATCCAGTAAAGTAGATGAACTCAGATATAAAATTAATTCTTAACCTTCAGCTTCTTCTACCAGCTAAACCTCACAAACCTCTCTAGCCAGTTTTGGGATCAACAACGATGAATACTGTTAATTTATCACTGACAACTCATGCTTTCTTGGTCAACCTTAAAACTGCTGTGGTTAAACCTCTACTTAAAAAGCACACGTTGATCTTTCATTCACCTTTTATACTGCTCAGTCCCAAATGGGGTCACGGGGGGCGGCTGGAGCCAGTCCCAGCCAGCAATCGGGAGAAGGTGGGGTACACCCTGGACAGGTCGCCAGTCCATCGCAGGGCCAACACGCACACTAACAACCACTCACATGCACACACATTCACTCCTACGGGCAATTTAGAGACACCAATCAACCTAAGCTGCATGTCTTTGGACTGTGGGAGGAAGCCGGAGTACCCGGAGAGAACCCACGCCAGCTCGGGGAGAACATGCAAACTCCGCACAGAAAGGTCGCGAACCCGCAACCTTCTCGCTGTGAGGCAACAGCGCTAATCACCGTTCCACCGTGCTGCCCCACACGTTGATCAGAATATCTTAATTATCCACCACTCTCTAACCTCTCAAAATCTTCTGGAAACGTACAACTGTACTTACTACCATAACAAATGAGTTTCTGTTTACTATGGATTCCACTTTTTTTTTACTCAATCTCAGTGCAGCTTTTGACACCACAGATCACTGTATAGTCCTAGACCAGCTGGAAAACATACCAGGGATATCTGGCCTGGCCCTCATGTAATGAATATCTTACTTATCTGAAAGACCAAAGTGTGTCTCCTATAATTACTTTATATCAATGTATTCCGCTATGAGATTAGATATGTTAGTACAAGGACTGAAACCTAAACCTTTTGTGGGTATAGTTTGGCGACTGATTTGTTGGAAGCACATTGTTTGATTTTACTTCTTTTATTTTGTGTTGAAGTATTGAAGATTTGAATCATGTTTGATTCAGCTCTTAACAGTGAGAGTACAAAAATGGATCCTGCAAGAAAAACGTAATCTTCTTCTGCTTGGGAGTATTTTGAATTAATATAATAATTTTATTTTATTGCATATGATATACAAAAACTTTTGTTTCTAAATAAAAATCCATTCAGGTTTTCCTTTGCTCTCTCAAATACAAAAGCAAATTTTTATTCTGAGTGTCAGAACTGTAATTCCACAATGCTGCTCAATTCAACACATCTGTTGCATTCCTTCTCAGCTGCTGTGGTTTCTTCCATCTTTTCCTCATTAAAGGTTTTTTCCCTTCTCAAATCAGAGGATGCAAGGTCAGCAGAAGGTGTCAAATTAACCCTTGAGGCAAATTTGGACTTTGTGATATTATATAAATAAAAAAATTACTTTAAGTGTGTTATTAATGACATTAACATAACTGAAATGCATAAGTGGAACACAGCAACTGTTAATTACTAATGCTTATTGTTATTCATTACACTTTGCCCCAGATAAAATGTCAAAATGTCTATTTCCAAAGAGATGTTTTTGTGTGTTTCAATCATGTTTTTAATGATTAAAAGTAATTTTGAATTCACTTGTCACATGAATACCACCTTAAGGGGTACACTATTTGAAAAGGGTAAGAAATCCTAAAGTTAATGAAATCACATTTTAGTGAGGAGGTTTAATTTGGGCAAGATTTAAAGAAGACCAAGTAATCTTTATCCTACATTGTCCTATTAATAAGATAATTCTGATATGTTAATTGCATATTTAGATTTTTAGTAAGCACCTGGTTGTTTTTGTTTAGTGCCTTTTAAGACCATACAGATCAGATTAAAAATATACAGGCAGACAATACCAAGTAACTCCATGCAGAGCTCTGTGTCCACCCTTCCATCCTCTGTAAGGGCTCCCAGCACAAGTCCATCAGCCCCATGACTCTTCATCAACTCTATGTCCTTCCTCATTACCTCCACATCCTGGTCTGAATACAGGAAGTCCCCTCCGCGGGGTCTGATCATCACATTGACTGGAATTTTGACATACTGCTTCACTACCTGCAGAAGACCTGTGGCAAAGCAAATAAAGGTGGTATTGGTTGCATTACATATATGCATATAAGGAGATGACCAAGGGGGTTTTGTGGGAGTGAACAATGCTCACCTAGACTGGGAGTGAGTCCTCCCTCCATAAGACTGGAACACAGCTCAAGTCTACCTGCTCCTGTCAGGAAAGACAAAGTCTCAGACTAAAATTAAATGAATTTCTGTAAGGCAGGTTGAAGATTTGTCTTTAAAAGCACTCAAACTAGGTTAGATTAAATGCAACCAACCCCACCCCCCGGTCTTTTCATAACTGATTCTAATACCTTTTTAACAAGCGGGTCATGCTGAGGTTAATACAAGCACAACACTGTTCACTACACATTACCGACCTCCTCGTTCGGCGTTGACAGCAGACTCCACGGAGTCAACACACACTTCCATCAAAAAGCCCTCTGCCATTCTGACAGTCTGCACAGAATGACAGAAAATACAGAAAGAGATTAACTGTGAATTCGTAAGCAAACAATCCTTTTAGTCCACAACTTTAACTTCAAACTTTAGAACAGCTACCTGTCAAATCAGTCGAATGGAAGCTTGCACAGTTAATACATGCTGTTTGGGTGACTGACTACTGCTACTACAGCCATATATTACAGTAGATGAGCGTTTTCCGGATTGCTGCATTTCAAACGCGATGTTTGGCGGTTGGACGGTGCTATACTGGTTATGCAACACTACTGGGCCAAAGGAGGCGTGTGACCGCCCATGCGGCATACGCTAAGATACAAATCATAGCTCCATCTACCACCTGGCTGTGCCGTCACTCTATAACATCATTTAGGAAAAAAAAGAATCATTATATTCCTCCCCACTTATTGTTAGTATCGTTTTTACTGCCTAACAAAAAGAAAAAAAATAACGCTAGTCTTGACTTGCTCGTCAACTTTTTGTGACGTCACGGGGTCAAAGTTGACCTGTATATGGCGGAAGCCTTAGTAAACATAAAGGTGTAGGTTAACGGCTTTTAGCTTTTAGCTAATCTTCATTTTTACAACCAAACTTAGAGGCACAAAGATGTTACGCTCTTCGTTACCTACAACAGTTTTTTGCCATTGGAGAAGTGCTTGCAAAGGACTTCATCACAGCAGTGTGGGTATATTGCTAGCTGCTAATATTAGTTTACTAACTAGCAATAACATCGAGCATTAACAATGTCAGCGTATGCAAGCAGTATAATAAGATTGACACAGCATTTCAGACGCTAACCCATCAGCCACATACCTTTTGTTTCCCTTTGACGTCGTTGTCAGCGTTTATTTTGGTTAAGGCAGTTAACCTTATCTAGCTGGTTGAGCTCTGCAGCAGTCACGTCCGTGTGTATCAGTTCACTGCTTAATTACCTGATTGACCTCATTATCTCGATGTATTGTCACTGTCAAGTTCATGTTAGAGTTGGTAAATCGAGTTTCTGCAAGGATGTCTGTTATGAATATATTGATTACTCACGCACTCATTTTGTAATTTCTAATTACTATGTCACATCAACCAGAGACATCAAATAAGCCAAGCACAAAATAGCATGGTAGCCAAACAACGACCAACAGTTCTTTGTGCTATAGTCTCTGACATCAGAAGTGAGCTATCAGGAGAAGAATCATGTAGGATAATCATACAGTATGTTATATGAACATCCAAATATCACACCCAGGTCTTATTGTTATCTGGAATCTCCATGGACAGTGATGTTTGCGGATGACATTGTGATCTGTGGTGAGAGCATAGAGCAGGTGGAGGTCTGTTCTGGAAAGAAGAGGAATATAATACAGAATGCATGTGTATGAACAAGAGGGAGGGAAGTGGAACAGTGAGGTTACAGGGGGCTGAGGTCAAGAAGGTGCAGGAGTTTAAGTATTTGGGGTCAACAGTCCAGTGTGATGGGGAGTGTAGGAAAGAGGTGAAGAGGCGAGTGCAGGCAGGTTGGAGTGGGTGGAGAAAGGTGTCAGGAGTGTTGTGTGACAGAAGAGTGGCAGCAAGAATCAAAGGAAAGGTGTACAAGACAGTAGTGAGACCAGCTATGCTGTATGGGTTAGAGACTGTAGCAGCGAGGAAAAGACAAGAGGCAGAGATGAGGATGTTGAGGTTCTCTTTAGGAGTGACCAGGATGGACAGGATTAGGAATGAGCACATCAGAGGGACAGTTTAGGTCAGCTTTTTGGAGACAAGGTCAGAGAGGCCAGATTGAGATGGTTTGGACATGTGCAGAGAAGGGATAGTGGTTATATTGGTAGAAGGATGTTGGACATGGAGCTGCCGGTCAAGAGGAAGGCCAAAGAGGAGATATATGGATGTGCTAAAAGAGGACATGAAGTTAATTGGGGTGAGAGTAGAGGATGCCGAGGATAGAGTTAGGTGGAAACAGATGATTCGATGTGGCAACCCCTAACGGGAACAGCCGAAAGAAGTAGTATATAATACAGACAGTTATCATCTGACTGTGCAGGTCAGTCAAGTTCCTCCAGTGAACCAGGAAAACACTTCTGCTTTGTACAAAGTGACACTGTCATGGTGAAACAGAAGAGGGTTTTCACCAAACCGCTACTATTAATATCACTCTTAATGTAGCTAGAATACACAATTTGTTAGCCAGGTAAAGGTGACGGCTTTCAAGGATTTGAAATTAGAAGTTGTTAAATGTTATTTTGAGTCGAGTCCCCTCTCCTTTATTTACAGCATCAGCGGAGTCCACAACTACGACAGTGGATTGTGAAAAGATGTCAGAGCACCATCACAGCTGAAGCAGGGGCCTCTCCCTGCCCAGGAGCGTCTTCAGTCCCCAATGCAGCAACAAATCGCATAGTTGGTCGCTGGTTACTCGGCTGCAGCGGGCTGGTGGCTGGGGCTATTGTTTTGGGTGGTGTCACAAGGTAAAAGTGATGTCTTTCTATATAATAGTCCTCCTTGTATTTAAGTGGTGTTGATGAGCACTTTCTGTATGTGCACATTTGTTTCAGACTAACAGAATCTGGGCTTTCTATGGTTGACTGGCATTTAGTGAGAGAGATGAGGCCACCTCAGTCACAAGCAGAGTGGGAGGCTGAGTTTTCCAAGTACCAGCAGTATCCTGTTTTCAAAATGTAAGCTTTTGTGATTCCCTTATCAAGAAACACTTGCACAGTTTTAAAGGTGTCCCATCACAGGATCACGATATCAGCTTTTTTACCCCACATCAGTAGCAGTGGATCTAACCAGTAAATACAAACAGAACTATATTTTCATTTTGTGAGAAACACAGTTTTATGTAACTGTATATAGCTCAGTGTTACACAATAAACACAATTAGGTTTTGGGTCTTTGATGTAAATACGAATTCTCTGTCATCATATTTTCCCAGAATGAACCGTGACATGACACTGCCAGAGTTTAAGTTTATTTTCTACATGGAGTGGGGTCACCGTATGTGGGGCAGACTGGCTGGACTTGCCTACATCCTCCCCACCATTTACTTCTGGAGGAAAGGATACTTCACTCGCTCCATGAAGGGAAACGTTCTGGGGCTTTGTGGGTTTGTCGTCTTCCAGGTAAGACTCGTCATAGGACCTTAATCCTCATCTTACTCTGTTTATAGCAAGTTGAATTTTTGTCATAATTAGGAAGTTGGTAATTAGATTGTCAAACATACATGAATGACTCATTGTGTACGTCCTCTAAGGGTCTTCTTGGGTGGTATATGGTAAAAAGCGGCCTGGAGGAAAAGCCTGAGTCTCATGATATTCCACGGGTCAGCCAGTATCGTTTAAGTGCTCACCTTGGTTCTGCCTTGCTACTCTACTGTGCCAGTCTCTGGACAGGGCTTACTCTGCTGTTGCCTGCACAAAAGGTATGGCCTGTGTGAGCTAAATTAAAAAAAAAAAAATCACACGTTTTGTTGCAAGATTTTTTTTCTTCCCATGCCTGTTCATGGCACCTCTTTCTCAGATGGCAGAGACCAGACACCTCATGCAGCTCAGGAGGTTTGCCAAGGGTACTGGTGGACTGGTCTTCTTTACTGCTCTCTCTGGTACTGTTTACAATATTTATCAATGCATTGCCAAAGACCTAAATTTCCATATGTTAGCTAGAAATAAGATTGATTTTTAGTTTCATAGCATGTACTTATCTACAGAACAAGATCAGCACTGTATTTTGCTAACCAAAAAGTTGATCTCAGAGAACAGCTACAGTCTTCATGAGGCTTAAATATAGCACGATTCACTGTAGAAGATATTTAGAAAGTTAAGGGGGTATTAAAAAGAGCTCTATAGAGATAAATATCACAGTACTTTGTTGCAGGTGCTTTTGTTGCTGGTTTGGATGCTGGGCTGGTGTATAATTCCTTCCCTAAGATGGGAGATAGGTGGATTCCTGATGATCTGCTTGCTTTTTCTCCAACCCTCAAGAACTTCTTTGAAAATCCCACAACTGTGCAGTTCAATCACAGAATTTTGGTATGCCATGATTCCTGGAAAGAGATAACATTTCAGCAGTTTCATTTGTATTAAGCATTACGTTTCCTTTTTCTTATCCCTTTCAGTGAACAGCAGTAGCTGGTTGTTGACTGTCTTCTCTCTTTTTATTTTTTCTCTCCAGGGAATCTCTTCTTTGATGGCAATTACGGGTCTTTATCTATTCTCAAGAAGGATGGTGCTGCCCAGGAGGGCTAAGATTGCCATCAGCCTCCTTGCAGCAATGGCCTACGGACAGGTAGACTGTCGTTCAGCCCTGAAATGTCATGCAAGTCTACTGCCCATCAGTGTAACTAAACTCAAACAAAGCATGTGCTTCTACTTTTCAGGTTGTCCTTGGTATCAGCACCCTGTTGTTTTATGTCCCTACACCACTGGCTGCAACACATCAGTCAGGGTCTGTGGCTCTTCTGTCCTTTGCCATTTGGGTTCTGGCAGAGCTCCGCAAGATTCCTAAGTAAAAGTCTGGTCTCCCTTGGATAAATCCAGTCCCTGCTAGCCACAGCTCGTACTTCTGAGAGCCAGCTGTGTCATTTTGGATGAGGCATTCAGAGAAAAAAGTGACAATGTTCATTTAACACTCGACTTTTATGCCTCTGTCCTGTAGTGCTGCAACATAATCTTCATGTCGTGACATTATTTGATTAAAAACATTTTTTTTACAAAACTACATCACGACTGTCGATGAGTAACTGAAGAAAACCCTTTTTGGACGTGTGTCCTCATAAGAAGATTACAACTTGTCAACAGAAAATGAGGTGTCTTGTTTCACAAGGAATTCAAAAAATATGCAAGATTGAGGTTTTTATGCAACTTTAATGACAGTGACAGGAGACTTAAGTAGAATAAAATACTGTTTTTGTTGATGTACACAGTTTTAACAGGACATTTTCAAAGAATATTTGGTCACTCACCTGTTACCCTTGTGTCTGCTCATACAACTGCCTGTTAGCTGAATCAGATGTGGCTGTTGGGATTATATGTATAATTATGTTTATATTTAACCATTTCTTGCCAACATCACCAAGTAAAAAGGTAAAAAGAAGTGGAATCTTGATTGCGGTTTTGTACTGTCTTAAGATGTGAAGCTGAAAGCACTGTCTTATTTTAATAAAGGCAGTTATGTACAGCCTTTGAAATTCAAACTACAGTCCAGTTTGCATAGTAACTGTGATTTTTATTGTCTCTGTACAAAATATACACATTTTGAATCCGCAACCAGTTGAGGTTCGCTAACTAGACAGTACAGTGGGTTACTAGGTTTTCATTGTTTAGACACAGTATATGCAGGTATAGACAGGTTTTACTTGTGGTCAGGAATGGAAGTTAAAAACTGTTGACAAGGAACAATCAGAGCCATGTTTTCCCTAGAAAATAAATGTTAATAAAAGCCGAACCAAAAAATAAAGAAAATGCAGGGTTGGAAGTGCATATTGTCAGCAGGGCTGTAGTGCACCCTTATGCTGTGCTCTGAGAGGAATGAGAGGTTGAATAAGTGGCAAGGTGCTGATACGTAGTGGAGAGCATTATTGCTGTTCTATGTCAGTCTGCATTTATAAGACACTGCAGTCAATTTATTCATGGCTCGAGTGCCTCTGGTACCTACACCACCTTGGATTTAATAGTAGTTCTCATATGAAAAGCGAATTAATAAGTGGTTGCAGATTCTTCTAAAATTATTCATGAGTGCCTAAGGTGTGCATTCACAAACTAAAATTACACTTCATTTTGGACAGTGTGCAGGTAAACCATGTTGCCAGTTTATATCATTTTATCTCTGATTGTCCCTTGCCCCATTTACCAAACATCAGCTCCCTCTCGCCTCACCCACAGGTGGGTTGTCTTACCTTACTGTGGCTTTATTTACCTCTTAAATTTAAATATTCTCTTTGGTGTTACAGAAAGAGGGAGAATGAGGAATGAACAGGCAGGCATAAAAAAACAAAACTGGTGTTGACCCACACACGCACACGCACACACACACACACACACACACACACACACACTATGCCTCTTTAAAACTGAATGAGCCTAATTTAATGCAACAATAGTTTAGAGACATTTTGTGAAGTGGTACAACCCCTAATCAGAAAAGGTTGGGATGGTATGTAAAATTAAAACTGTAAACAGTGATTGTAAGTCATCTGTGTCCTGTATTACATTGAAAACAACACAGCATCACATTATTTGATGTGATATCTCATTAATTTTATTCTTTAACAGTAAACACTTGTTTCAATTCTGATGTCTGCAACACATTCCAAAAAAAGTCGAGATGGTTGCATTTCAGGGCTAGTGATGAGGTAAAACAATGACACGATGATTCCATTTAAAACAGGTGATGTCATCAGGTGACTGCAATCATGATTTGGTACAAAAGTGGCATCCAGGAAAGGCCAAGCCCTTTAGGTGTGGAGATGAGCCAAGGACCTCCAGTTTGCCAACATATGTGTGAGAAAATTATTGCAATGTTTAAAACCAATACTCTTCAAACACATAACATAATTAAAAGAGTCAAGGAATCTGGAGGAATTTCAGTGAGTAAAGGACAAGGGAGCAAGCCTAAACTGGATGACTGTGCTTTTTGATCCCTCAGATGGCACTGCATCAAGAATTGTCACTGTTCTATAAGCGATATAACCACATGGGCTCAGGATTACTTTGTCACAGCTGTGTCAGGCACTACAATATGTAGTAGCCAGGGCTTGTCATGGTCTGGGGTTGCGTCAGAGCCCTTGGCAAAGGTAAACTTACACTTCTGTGATGGCTCCATTAATGCTGAACAATACATAGATTTTGGAGCAACACGTGCTGCCTTCAAGACGACATCTTTTCCAGGGACGCTCATACATATTTCAATAAGACAATGCAAAACCTCATACTGTGCACATTACCAAGGCCTGACTGTAGAGGAAAAGGGTGCAAGTGCTGAACTGGCCTACCTACAGTCTGGACCTGTCCCCATTTTGGAGTGTGTGGCAGGCATCAGAATTTATTTATTTTGAAACAAAGAATAAAATAGAGGAGGTAACACATCAAATAATATGTTGCTGTATTGTTTTCAATGCAATACAGGGCACCGATGATTTGCACATCACTATTTTCAGCTGCAATTTTGATTTTACATAGTGTCCCAACTTTTTCTGAGTTGGGGTTGTAGAACCTGCTACAACCACATAACATTTCTGATTACAAGAATTTCACAAATACATTCTACAATCTAATTCCCATTTAATGTATATAGTAGACTAGTATGACAGTGGTATGCCAGTCCCATGTTGAGAGAAGCTGGGATGGTCAAAGCAGCTGGTCAACTAAAGTGCAATCCCCACATTGTACTGCCTAATATGACACCACTGGGAATATGCTAGATATTGTACAACAGTCAATAGCAGTCTACAGCTAGGACTGTAACAGTTTGGAAGGCTGGGAATTATTCTACCAGAATCCCATAAATGCCGGTGTGTGTTACCCCATTAGTCTTACATAGGTAAGCTGGATGACATCTCTTTGTTACACATGCACACAGATATACACAAAGGGTGAGGCACCTGTGAATGACTAGGAACACCAGACAGACAAGCAGACTTTGGAGTATCTCTGTAAATACATAATTTGATATTAGTGACATCATCATGCGATACTGAAATGAGTTCCTTATGGAAAACAATATGTTTGAACGTCCATCGCTTGGATATCCAATTGTTGCCTCAGGAAGTGGCGTGCTCCCTCTTGACCACTAGATGGCAGTAGATTCATTTCTATTTTTATGGCTGGGGCATAAACAGTCTAGTCTTCCAGGAAGGTGTTACCCACATGCACAGAGGCAGGATCAGATTCACAAATCCAAATTGCAACAATCACAGAGAAAGGAGAAAGTGGTCTTAGGTCAAGGTTTAGGGAAAACTTCCTCCCTCTGAGCTCAGACATTACTGGCTGCAGTAGTTTCTCCACAGTAATAGTAATAAATACACGTTCAGATAAAACAGGTGGGGGTTTGGGGGTGTGCCAGTGCCTGTGAGCCCACTGCTTACCTTCCCTCTCTGCGTCTCTAGGGTAAAAACAGGTTCTGCATGATGAGGAAGGGAGATGGGTAAACCATTGTTCCTTGGAGAAATGCCACTGGGGTCCAGGAAGAGGGTCCCTCAGTGCCATCAGGACTCAGAGCTCTCAACAGAGACACAAGCACAAACTTGCAAGTCAGAGGACGGCTGTGCACACACGCATACACACACACACACACACACACACTTAAAAATCCTTTCTCTCTTTTCAGTCCTGATTCCTCTTACACACACGTTCTCCTCCCTGGTGCCAGTATCCTAAGAGGTCCAGATATTTAGATGACATTGTCAAACAGCTGCATGGATTGCATGATGTTCTCATCCTAGAAAGAGACAAGAGTTTTGGATAAGACAATGTCATTTCATGCTGCGGAAAGAAAGGATTAAAGATTTGTCATTTTGCAGTAGTTTGCTTTCTTGCTGAGTCAAATGAGAAGACTGACACCATTGTCAGTTCTGTCCATTAAGTATGAAGCTAGGAGACAGTTTAGTTTAGCATAAAGAAAAGGAAACAGCTATCCTGAGTTTGTCCAAAGATTAAAAATGGTGTCAATCTTCTCATCTAACATTTGACAAGAACGTAAATAAGTATACTGTATTTCCCAAAATGTCTAACTATTCTTTTAGGACTTGAAAATTCACTTTTTGCTCTACCTTTTTGCACGACTCAATGAACTCCTCTATAGTGACCACTCCATCTTTATTCCGATCCATTTTCTAAAAGAAGAACAGAACACAGCAGCCAGAGATTTACTCACTGAAAAAAAACTGTCTGTTCAATAGTTTACTTCTTTTATAGGACAACAGCTCCACGGAGTTTGACCTGGAAGAAGCTCTCCACATGTTCTCTTGGGGCATCGTCCTGCATAGTGGGGTATGTGTACTTCCCCATCATGTCATAGATGGACTTCATGATGTCCAGCATCTCCTGCAAAGTAAAGAACAAAAGGGTGTGAACATTACTGTGGGTCTAGAAATTGTTGGACAAATTTTTTTAAAAATCACTTAGAAACTGGGCTGTGTCCAGGTTTGCAGTGGCGCTCATGCAAAAGTTTTCTTATTCAATACCCTGGCAGACAATTTCCACACCTAATTATCTGCCAAATTTCAAATATACTCTTAGTAATGTATTGCCAAAACCTCAATATTCCCCAAAATGTTGACCACGTCCTTATTAGTAGCTATGCTTCGAAGCTATTACAGCCAGTAACTCAGAGCCACCTAGGCACAGTGCAAGTTGTGTGCATGTATTTGTGCAACCTCTTTGGTGATGCAGCCATCCTTGTTCAGGTCATAGAGGTTGAATGCCCAGTTTAGCCGGTCATTAATGGTCCCTCTCAGGATAATAGACAGGCCAAATACAAAGTCCTAAGATAGAAGGGAAACGATTTACCACATTGCTTTGACATTACATAAATCAAGACACAGTAAATCAAGTCAAATCCTTAACAGCACAGTGTAACACAGTATTTAGAGAACAAATATTTGTGTGGATCGATCTCTGTTGACAAGTTTCATTACAGCACATATTTGTTTTTGTCTCTCAAAGCTAACGGAAGAGCAGAGCTCACCTCAAAACTAACTGAGCCATTCTTGTTAGTGTCGAAGGCTTCAAACAGGAAATGCGCATACATACTAGAATCTGAAAAGGCAGAGACTTCCAGTAACCCATGTGCCCTTGAAATATGAAACAAAGTCTTTGAACAGCTAGGATTAGCAATGAGCTAAATATAGTCTAGATATAAAAATAATTTCAAATACAACTGGAGGCAAGTGGTTAACATTTCATCAACCTAAATATGAAACTGAAAAACTGCCATGGTTTTGTGCAGTGCTTCAGCAGAGCTGACCTATGAGTTAACGCTGTTAATTTCATTGTAATGATGAAAAACTACAGGTGTACCTCTACAAAATCAAAAAATTGTCATTTACACTTTCACCTGAAAATATATAACATAAATAAAGATAGAAAGAAATGGCCTATATGAAAGTCTTATGGACACATTTGGAGCTCTTGTGGTGATAACTCACCTCCCTGAGGAAAGAACTGGGAGTAAATGTTCTTAAAGTTCTCCTCATTTACAACACCGCTCGGACACTCCTGGGATACACATGTGGATTGAGAAAACTCATTAGCTCCCATCATGCACAGAATATATAAAGATTACATGGTCATTTCTGCTCTTACCCCATTGATATGGCGCTTAACTTCCATTATGTTGCAACTAGAACAATTTTTAGGTTTATTTTTTCATTTGCAGTCTACTTTATTACTCTCTTCTTCAGCCAGACCTACATTTTTGAAGCCCCTGTAGAGGACTTGCAGCTCCTTCTTGGTGAACTTAGTCTGCTCTTGCAGCTTGTCCATGCTTTCAGGGCGATGGCACACAGTGGACAGCTCGAAGTCATCTTCCACGCTGTCTGTGAGAGGAAGAGACTAGTGTTAGTATTCATCATTGCTACACCCAGACAAGGGACAGGGCATATTTTAACGAAGTCATCAAACTTGTATTCAGCTCCTCATACAGTACAAGTCTTAGACAGTATGTCATACAAACAGCGAATCAAAATAATATCCTTTATTTACAACATTTTTAATCAGTATTTTATTATTTCACTGAATGAAAACATGAGTGAATGCAATTAGTTGTGAGACAGCTGGGTCAAGCACACACATCCTTGCCTCAGCATACGTTTTTATTCCTATTCCTACTATGAAGCATGGTTACTAAAACATCTATAAAATGACAGAACGTCTTGTCATGTTCAAGTGTACAAGAGATCCTGGGGAAAGTTCTACACCGAGGAGGTACGAGTAGAGGCCTACCATTAATGAAAATGGTAAAGAGGAGACTATTTAGATGTGGAGACACAGTCACTACAGTAACAGAAATTCTTCATCCCACTTCATTTCAACTGTTTCTCCAAAAATAACTTTTAGCATATGTCATATATTATCAGTTCTCAGACCTTTAGAACCTGTTGACGTACATACACACAAGGGAACAGCACACGCTTCAAATCACGATATACCAAAAATAGGTCTGACCCATTACCCACAATAACACTGGAATGTTTTTGACTGTGTGTGGCTTTCTGTAGGAATGAATCTGTTTCTGGTCGAATGACCGTGTGTTTATATGTACAGCGAATGTTTTAGTGGATGTGTGTACATGACTGCATCTACACTGTTTAAATCTTAAGTCACGGAAGAGGCTGGACACATGAAAGAAAGGTGTATAGAGAGTGAAGGAGCACTTGCTTTGACTGATTGAGGGGGCAGCTGAGGGCTTGCAGCACGGCAGCAGCTTGAGGAATCGCTGCTTTATCGTTTTTTTGGTTTGGCTGTTGGAAGGATTACCTGCAATCACCAACCATAGCACAAAGGTTAGACACACACGCACACACAAGGCTGTGATGTAATTCTGATTTCACACACACATGCACACATACATGCCTCGGAAACCAAAAGACACACTCCATGCATTAGACGGGTGCAACAAGAGACTGATTCATGCCATTTAGGCAAATTGGTGATTGCCTGCTGACCTGCCTTAGTGATGGGAGACCACGAGTACCACTTCAAACGGTAGATATTACTGCACAACAGCAGCACAGTGTGACCCCTAGAAACGCACAGGTTCCCTAAACAGACTGGCTGCCATATCGCAATGCCACATTCAGGAAACTCTATGAGGTATTAGAAAAACCAACAGACAAGGCAAATGTCAACAGTTTTAATTCACAATCAGCTTAAGGAAGGACTTCATTTCATAGCAGAATATAGTGCGCTAGACAAATGTGCTGCCTCGACTAGACCTCATCATGCTTAATGCCAGTTCAACTCAAAGCAAACAAACCTCACATTTCTGGTGTGTTTTACAGAATGATGATAACAATCTGCACAACACATATGCACACATGAACCCAGATACTTACTCTTGCCTCTTAGTTTCCATGGCAACAGTCCCCTCACCCCTTTTAGCAGGACCCCAGCAGTCTGAGGGATGAGCTCCATGATGAGGTGAAAACCAACAGAACTACAATACCTCTGTTGACAATCTAGCTTCTCTGATCTGCCATCCTATTGTCTCTGCATCATGGAGCCTCTGGGACTCTCCTGACCTCACAAGCTCTGTTATCATTTGGAACCAGAACTAGCAGAGCACACTGCCCACTCCATATTGGTTTAATACATCCAGCCACCTCGTACAGGCCCAGCCCTGAGCTACAGGGTTTGTGTACTATATTTTTTTTTTCCATATGGATCTAACATTAGGCCACAGAACAAATACTTCAACCAACAGTCATGCATCATATTTTATAGGTCTACCATATGTATTAAAAACAAATAGCAACTACAGATGCCCAATAAATCTAATGGATAAGCTGTCAATGCATAATATCAATTTAGAATTTAGAAAGATACAATACATAACATGGCCGTTGCATCTAATATTGACAGAATGCTGTGGCTGAAAACAGTCCTTTGCTGGAAACGAGTAGGTTACTGTGCTCCTAGAAATGCTATTAATGTAATGTGATCAATTTGTTCTTTAGTCTTTGAAGCTAAAATAGTTTTCTTGAGTACCACTCACAATGAAACTGGAAATTCTTTCATTTTGTCCAGAAAAAGTAAAAAAAAAAAAAAGTCTATTCCTCATCAGACAAGGAAAAAAACAACTTGCTGTGTTACCCAGCTATTGCGCACCATTATGACACTCTTACCCAGTGTGCCCGGTAGTGATTGTGCATTTAGAGTTCAATAGTTTTCCCCAGAGAACACTGACAGACCATCACAACACTTCAGGAAAAATGAAAAACAGTTCTGTTTTTAGCTTGATGAAAACTCATTGTTGGCAGTATCTGGTAACTTTTAAAGGAGCTTCATGTTTTATAAACCTAAGAGAAACAAGGTTTTTCTCAAGGCACAGAAAAAGCACGTAATCCTCAACTAAAGTGAAAACAACAAACACTGTTTACAGCCATACTGATACAATGCACTGCTGATGGAGAAACAGATGGTTGTGCAGATCCAGCACTGAAGCTTTCAGTGTGATTGCTGGGGCCTTCTGACATCTAGAGTAGCGATGAGTGAAGTCAAACTGTAATTTTAAAATGTGGTTTTCACAAGTATTAGCATCAGATAAAAACTTATAGGCATCCTGCTGGTTCAGTTGGTTCTTTGTGTACCTGTGGTTTCAAATCAGACCTGGGACTTCATGTTATTAAGCTCCTTCCACTTATCCTGCCTCTCTTTAATCTTAAGTGCACTCCAGGTATGTAGCATTGCACTGCCATAAAACTAAAGACTGAAAAGATGCAAAAAAAAAAACAACAACAACAACAAAAAGCACTAGGGATAATGATATCCTGATTTATCGTCCCTAATGTGGTTTAAGCTCCAAAAATAATGGATCTTATGTCCCACAATGTATAGTGCCTCACTATGTGGTAACAGCTCACATTTGTCATGCCGGCTTTCTGTTAAAAAATGTGTGGCGTATCCTGGTGGCCTTGTTTGTAAGATGCATACCAAATAACTGCAGCAGGCTGGTTGGAGTTCAGTCTAGTACCTACAGTATCTTACATGTCATGCTGCCTCTTTCTCCCTGTCAGGCTGAGACAACTCTGATGACACCACCAGGGTTATTTTTTCAGACTCTGGAAACACTCCAGAGACACAGAAGATACCGTCCAACTCTTTATGATGAGCAACTCTTTATGATGGTGTATAAAATCAGTGGAGTGCGCATGTTCATAACAGTACAAATGACAAGCCAAGTCAATGATTGATAATTTACAGATACAGTGCCTTGCGAAAGTATTCGGCCCCCTTGAACTTTGCGACCTTTTGCCACATTTCAGGCTTCAAACATAAAGATATAAAACTGTAATTTTTTGTGAAGAATCAACAACAAGTGGGACACAATCATGAAGTGGAACGAAATTTATTGGATATTTCAAACTTTTTTAACAAATAAAAAACTGAATAATTGGGCGTGCAAAATTATTCAGCCCCTTTACTTTCAGTGCAGCAAACTCTCTCCAGAAGTTCAGTGAGGATCTCTGAATGATCCAATGTTGACCTAAATGACTAATGATGATAAATAGAATCCACCTGTGTGTAATCAAGTCTCCGTATAAATGCACCTGCACTGTGATAGTCTCAGAGGTCTGTTTAAAGCGCAGAGAGCATCATGAAGAACAAGGAACACACCAGGCAGGTCCGAGATACTGTTGTGGAGAAGTTTAAAGCCGGATTTGGATACAAAAAGATTTCCCAAGCTTTAAACATCTCAAGGAGCACTGTGCAAGTGATAATATTGAAATGGAAGGAGTATCAGACCACTGCAAATCTACCAAGACCTGGCCGTCCCTCTAAACTTTCAGCTCATACAAGGAGAAGACTGATCAGAGATGCAGCCAAGAGGCCCATGATCACTCTGGATGAACTGCAGAGATCTACAGCTGAGGTGGGAGACTCTGTCCATAGGACAACAATCAGTCGTATACTGCACAAATCTGGCCTTTATGGAAGAGTGGCAAGAAGAAAGCCATTTCTTAAAGATATCCATAAAAAGTGTTGTTTAAAGTTTGCCACAAGCCACCTGGGAGACACACCAAACATGTGGAAGAAGGTGCTCTGGTCAGATGAAACCAAAATCGAACTTTTTGGCAACAATGCAAAACGTTATGTTTGGCGTAAAAGCAACACAGCTCATCACCCTGAACACACCATCCCCATTGTCAAACATGGTGGTGGCAGCATCCTGGTTTGGGCCTGCTTTTCTTCAGCAGGGACAGGGAAGATGGTTAAAATTGATGGGAAGATGGATGGAGCCAAATACAGGACCATTCTGGAAGGAAACCTGATGGAGTCTGCAAAAGACCTGAGACTGGGATGGAGATTTGTCTTCCAACAAGACAATGATCCAAAACATAAAGCAAAATCTACAATGGAATGGTTCACAAATAAACATATCCAGGTGTTAGAATGGCCAAGTCAAAGTCCAGACCTGAATCCACTCGAGAATCTGTGGAAAGAACTGAAAACTGCTGTTCACAAATGCTCTCCATCCAACCTCACTGAGCTCGAGCTGTTTTGCAAGGAGGCATGGGCAAAAATTTCAGTCTCTCGATGTGCAAAACTGATAGAGACATACCCCAAGTGACTTACAGCTGTAATCGCAGCAAAAGGTGGCGCTACCAAGTATTAACTTAAGGGGGCTGAATAATTTTGCATGCCCAATTTTTCAGTTTTTTATTTGTTAAAAAAGTTTGAAATATCCAATAAATTTTGTTCCACTTCATGATTGTGTCCCACTTGTTGTTGATTCTTCACAAAAAATTACAGTTTTATATCTTTATGTTTGAAGCCTGAAATGTGGCAAAAGGTTGCAAAGTTCAAGGGGGCCGAATACTTTCGCAAGGCACTGTATAAAGGGTGGCCATGGCTCAGGGTTAGAGTGGCCGTCTCCCAACCAGAAGGTCAGGGGTTTGATTTGTGGTGCTTGTAGTCCACATGTTGAAGCATCCTTGGGCAAGACCTGAGCCCCGATAGCCAAATAAAGTGGTTATTTGATGTAAAGTATGCCTACTGTATATTAGTTGTGTGTTTGACAAGAATTATTCCTTTAAATGTATTTGTTTAGAAGGTTTGAATCTCCTTTGTGTCATAAATGCAACAGTTTCAGAACTGTGATTTAGGAAGGTATCAATATGTATGTATGTTTGGTATTTCACTCTCATTCAAAGCCACACACACACACACACACACACACACACACACACACACACTATACAGGAATATAAATGGGTCTGACAAACATAATAGCTTTTTAGTGAGGAAACTGGGCCAAACCACTTTATGTATAACCCTAAACACACTTCAGAAACACACACAGACACATGTGTAGACACACCCCTTTCCAGCTGAGCATTTTCCTCATTACGTCCACACACCATATTCATCATTTTGACTTCTTAATCAGCGTCTCTTTTGGTTTCTTACCATTTCTCTTACCTGCCATGGAAAGGTCGATAAGCCCCAGAAAGTGCATCAGTTTGAGGGAGCTGCAGACCACCAGGAGGATTCCCACAGTCTGCAGCCCCTCCACCTCCCACTTCTCTTGGAAAAACAGATGCATCCTTTTCCTTTTCTGTTTCTGTCAAGAAAAATCTTCTCTTGCTCCAGGGCAACCACGTTCTCACCCTCAGCTCTAACAAGGAATGCACCGTCTTTGTCTCTTGAGTCTTTCCTCTCAGTCTCCCTCTATATGCCGGTATTCAACCATCCTAACTCCGCACAGTTCCCTGCCTGCTTTCTTCACTGAACGTAGATTGTTATTCCCCTCGTTTCTTCATCGAGAGTGGTAAGTGCGTGGCAGCAGGACTGTTGGCTTGCTGCTCCACCCCCGTCGCCTCCAAGGCTGTCAAAGGTTATTTAAGTTCCAGGTGAAGTTCAGACAATTCACTGTACGTGTCCTGACAGGTTGGCAGATATTGTTTTCTGACTCCCTCTGCTTATCCAGCTACTGACTCTCAAACTCTATTCTCTGCCTGTCCTCCCTCTCTTCCTCGCCTTACTTCCGTCACTCTCCTTCTGCTGTGTCCCTCCCCATACTTAATTGGGTCAGTGATGGGACTGAGTGAAGACAGGAGAGAGGAGGGAGATGAGAAAAGGAAGGAGGGAGAAGGATGAGGAGTACTACTTGTAGGTTAAGAAGCAAAACAGAGAAGGGGAGGGGGGCATGCACAAAAGACAGATGAGAAGAATGAATTGAGGGATGCAATGGGAAGAGGGATGGGAAAGGAGTGCAAGATGGAATGGTTGAAGGAGGAAATAATACAACCAGGGGTATAAGCAATGAATCCAAAACAAATGAAGATTCAAAAACAGGTAGAAGGGGTAAAACGAATGACATATTTATTAGGAGAAGAAAAAGGAGAGAAAGACTAGCAGAAGGGAGGAGAGGGACCATCTGACCCAATGCCTTCTGTGGACAAACTCACAGATGTGGCAGTCTACCCTGGGTGTAACACACACACACACACACACACACACACAGCCTAGAGGTGAACTCTGGCTATAACATGTACTGCATATGCAGTCCAGAACAGCAGGGAACATTTCAGTTGGAATGAGATGTACTGATGTCACATGTGGTACACTAATGTCCCCCCACAAACAGACACAGTCTCTAAAGAACTGGAACAGAATTTTTTTCTATGTATTCATGGTAATGTACATTGTTTGGGATTATTATTTCTATTATTTTGATTCCCCACAAGGAATTAACATACAGTACATGTAGCTGAGGGGGTCATGTTTATGAAACAAAGTCTTTGTATTTAGACCTTTTAGCCTTTTGAGAAAGTGCAGCAGGAAACAAAGATTGCACTACAACAAATAGACCAGGCTTTACTCATGTGAACCCTCTGAAACATACAATAAGTAAAGATAAATGGACTGAGTATTGGTCAAAAGTGGATGACCAACATTCAATCAAAATCATAATAATCATAA